GAAACCATGACCCTAACCTCCAAACCAAGGAACCAAATCCCATAAGGTGTTTGCTTGTACATAAGCAGCCTTAGCAGCTATGCTGTAGATTCTCTTTTACACCCATAATACAGAGTAATTACCATGAGATCTTACTGATTACATAGTATGTCATTGCACTGTGCCAGGACATGTTTGTGATGCTGGAGGGTTTGTTGTGGCTATGCAAATTAGTTCAGAATACGTAATTTGCCAAGCCCGAGTCATCCTTCATCATTCTGCCAGGAAGAAAGTGTTCATGAATTGAAAGAAGTGGTATGTGTGCTGCTTTTTCTGGGCCTCTTAATTATATCTTTTGAAATAACTAAAGCCTCTGATGCCTTTATCTGTTCATGTGCTTCAGTCAAGGTTTCCAAAGTGCTTTACAAGCACAGGATCATCCCCGCATTTGTTCCCAAGCTCAAGTGTGGATGGAACCAACTTTTGCAAAGGGCTGGTGGAGGGCAGGGGAGGGCTTTATAAAGTCTCTCAGGCACCCCAGAACAGCAAATTTAGAAATTAAAGAAAAGAATAAAACTTTTCCCTGGGTTTATTCATTTGCAGGTTATGGCTTTCTTTGATAGCAATAAAACAAAAGTCTTATTTGTAGAGACTGTCCAAGATTAAAAGAAGAGAAATTAATTTCACAGTGAGGCTACAAGTTCCAGTTTCCAAGCAAGGGTATAAGAACCTCTTGTCATCTGACCAAATGATCATCTTTCCAGGGCCTCTATTTCTCCCATGTTAGATTTTACTGTTATGACTTCTGGTTCTCTTCCTACAAACGGGGGAACGAATGTTTGCTTACTCCCTACAGTGCTGGGCAGTCCTGCTGGGGTAAGGGCAGAATGAGACCGTCTAGGAGGGTTCGAGTAGCCTGCAAAGTTTCATGTGATCTGTTCGTATTTCTTCACCACTTTTTAAACCGGGGAAAAAATATTTATTTTTTCTCTGAGCTACTACTGAAGAATTTCCCAGCAAAGGTGCTGCTGTAGAGAATGCTTTTAGACATCTTTGAAAAAACTTTCTACCCTGAAATACAGATTAAACTACGATAGAAACCGTTGAGTCAATTCCGAACTGTGATAGAAGCACAAAAAATTCAAGAATTATGACAAACTCAAGAAGTCTGACAAATTCACTGTAATCTTACAGTGGTCCTGGAGGTTATGGACAGGCTTGGTGGTAAAGGAGGTTGGGTAATCTGAATTAGTGAAAAAATAATAAAAAAAAAACAAAAAAGCAAGCCTGTTGTTGTCGAGTGGATTCTGATTCATGGCACCACTACGTGTTACAGAGTAGAACTGCTCCATAGGGTTTTCTGGGTTGTGATCTTTACAGAAGTGGATTGCCAGGCCTTTCTTCCACAGTACCACTGGGTGTGGTTCAAACTGCCAACTTTCAGGTTAGTAGTTGAGGGCAAACCATTTGTGCCACCCAAAGATTGAAAAAAAAAAAGAATAATTATGTTTTAAAATGATGTTAGGTCACTTGGTGGCATGGTCGTTAAGTGTTAGGCTGCTAACCAAAAGGTCAGCAGTTTGAATCCACCAGCCACTCCTTGGAAACCCTATGGGGTAGTTCTACTCTGTCCTGTAGGGTCACTATGAGTCGGAATCGACTCGATGGCAACAGGTTTGGGTTTTGGTATCACTTCAAAGGACAGAGAAGTCTTCTTCTCTTACCTTATTTTAAAACAAGATTAAAAAAACAAAAATTCAAGCTCCTCTCAGTGACAGCCCCTTGCGTGGACAGATCCTTTGCCTGAGTTGCCTCTTCATAGAGTTTTAGAACACTTTTACCCAAGTCCTGTCTTACGACTGGCAGGAATTTATTTGAAGTCCAAACCTTATTTTATTTAAATCCTGAATTTAGCATCATACAATAATTTTTATGTGTATATTAATTACCCACGGTGGAATGCAGTGCCCACAATTGGCAATTTAGGCGCACATTAACGCAAAATTGTGCACGTGAAATTTCTCTTCTGGGTATTTTGACTAAGTTGCTCTTTAGAAGAAAAAAGGTGCTCAGAGCATTGAGGGTGAATTTACAGACCAAATCTACTACTGACTTATGAATTCATGTTATAAATAAAAAAATAATTAGTGCCGAAAAAAGTCAGATGAGGTCTCCACAGACTCTTTAACATTGTTTTATATTCTGAAAAATAAACTGATAGAAATACATTTTAAACACTTTTGTTTTTTAGTCTGTATTCATTCATTTAAAAAATAATTTTTAAAATAACAGCTACCCTATAAGGAGCACTCACTGTGTCCCAGATGCCACCTTAAGAGCTTCCTGTGTATTATTTTGGAGTCCCTGGGTGGTACAAAGAGTTAATGTGCTCAGCTTCTAACTGAAAGGTTGCTGGTTCAAGACTTCCCAGAGGTGCCATGGAAGAACGGCCTGGCAATCTGCTGCCAAAACTGGCTACTGAAAAGCCCTATGGAACACAGTTCTACTCTGGCACACACGGAATCGCCATGTGTCAGAGGATTAACTCCACAGCAACTGGCATTATTTTATTTAATCCTCATGACTCTAAGGCAGCTACTCAGGTTATCCCTGTATCACAGAGGAAGAAACTGAGGCATGGAGACTTAAAGCATAACTTGTCCACCACCACCCAGTCAGACAGTGGTCAAGCCTAGATGCAAATGCAGCTCTGAAGCCCTGCTTCCAAACCACAGGTCATGACCCACTGGAGGTTCATGAAGCCATTCTGGGAAATCATCATCGGCATAAAAAAATTAAATAGAATAAAATAAAATAAAATGGGGTGGAATAAAATAGAATAGTATAGAGAATATCTCAGGGCATCACAGATAGGGAAAGTATTATTTTGTGAAGCCTTCATTTTAAATATACATGCACATACTTTTGATGTAAAGTGCATTTCTCACTCTGGATTGTGGTTTAAATAATATGAAATGCATTGGTCTAGGACCCACTTAACTTTTATACTACTTCTCGACCTTCTTTCCTTTTAAAACCCCAGGTATATAAAACCCAAGTAGAGTAAGCTTAACAAACTCTCGTGAAATAAAAAGTGATAGCAATCTGACTCTAAAGGGCTCAACATCATAGCTTGATTTTTAAAAAGCTTTTTATAGTGACCTGATCACGGGGTTGCTGAGGAGCCCTGGTGGCACAGTGGTTAAGAGCCTGGCTGCTAACCAAAAGGTCAGCAGTTCAAATCCACCAGCCACTCCTTGGAAACCCTGTAGGGCAGTTCTACTCTGTCTTATAGGGTCACTATGTGTCGGTATCAACTTGACGGCAATGGGTTTGATTTGATTTTTATCATAGAATGGAAGGTACATGTTGGCCCACAGCTACATATTCTGTTTTTTTTTTAATTCATGTCAAAACAAGAAAAACATTGTAAAATTAATCCCCCTTCTATCAGAAAGACAGAACTCACAACAAAATTGACTTGATAGAACTCACAACAAAAATTAATATAAACACAAGGTCTCTTTTATTTTTCTCTGAAGCACAAACGCGCTCACTCAGCACAATAACAATAAGCAAATCAATATAAATATTGAGAAAAAATTTCTCCATGAGTACATACATATACATTCTTAAAAGCAGCAGTCAGGAGTTCAACAACAATGTAAGGTGGTTCTAAAGAATGCTTTCTGACAGGCTTTTGAGTAGGAAATGGACAAGTAAAAGTAACCGCCACACAACAGATGAGCTAAGAATAGCATCTGTTACCCAAGTTACTTGAACCGCAAGTTACTTGACTGTGAAAGCCATCTGAGAATTTACATTTAATTTCATCATTGGCCTGTTGGACTCTTGCATTTCATTAAACTAGGACTATATCCACAAACTGACCCCTTAATTCTCTATCTCTCACATTCAGGCTTGTAGGAGGGGAAGGGAGGTGAGACTGGGCATGAAAACAAGCATAGTGACCACGTCAAGGTTTCCTAGCGGTATCTATTCATGTGGCCACTTTTTATGCTTTCCCTTTAGAGACATTAAGAAGTGTGAGAGTCCAAAATCGTTCCTACAGTGGTGAGGCATGTCTGAAATTGCGAACATTTCCTTTAAGCCTTCAAAAAAAATGATAATAACTTCAAAATTTGTAACAATCCACTCAACTTAAAAATAATTTCAAGTCACTATCCATGGGACATTTCTCAGCCTACCTTTTAATAACTCAAAACACTCTTTTTAAGCATGTTTCTAGCATCATCCTCAACCTAAATAATGGACAACATCGAAAAGATTTCCAGTAGGCTACCAACCAACCAATCAGTTGTTGTCAAGGCCATTCTGACTCATGGCAACCCCAAGATGATGGCTGATTCTTTGGAAGTAGATCACCAGGCCTTTCTTCTGAGGTGCCTCTGGGTGTACTCGAACTTCCAACCTTTTGGTTATCAGCCAAGCATTTGCACCACCCACGGACTCCCCAATAGCCTACATAAGTAGCCAATTCTGGATGCTTTCTATGTACAGCTCAAGGCAGAGCTGACACAACATGCCTTCCAGCTAGCCTGTAGAGCTTACCATCTGCCTGGCTGATGTGAAAAGATTCAAAATAGGAAGAGTCTGGTAGGAAGTGAAGATTCAAAATACATTGCTGGATCTCACACCTGTTATATTTCCTCTCTAAGATCTCAGCAGCAGCTGCCAACAGGGATATTCAAGGCACACTTCAAAATCAGTCAAGCATCTTACGGAGTGTTTTCCTACCACTTCCCTTCCTTTAACATGTAGAATTCTCACTGAAATAAAAAAAGAGATCCAGTGGGGTTCAATGCTCACAAGCATTAATTTGGAAAGACTTCCTCCTATTCTAAGATATCCTCTTGGATTCTAAAACCTTTGACAATTAAATTATAGAAAAAAAATAGGGCATTAATAAGGGAGAGAAGTCGCTGCAATCTCAATTTTCGATTACTAGGACAACCTCCCATGGCCTAATCTTTTATTTCCCATGTTTCAATCTCTTTTGGAAAAAAAAAAAAAAGAAGCTGTTTGCTTTTGTGTTCTGGTTGCAAGAAAATATTTCGTAAATTTATGATAGTCACTATTATTGAAAACATTTTTACCTTTCAAAGTGCATTCCATTAAAAAATACCATGAAATGGTGTGGGGTGGGGTGAGGGGGCTGATAAGTGTTAACTCTTTCTTTCCTGTCAGACAGCAAAGTATTCAAGGATAAAGTGACAACTAGGATTGGCTTAGAATACGGCCTCTCCACAATAAAGAAAGTCAACCTACATTAGGCAAAGGCAACATTTCAAAATGTGGAACATCTGGCCACAAGAATGGCTAATGTCTGTAATACTGCAAAGAGCATATGCAACATTCAGGAACACTGCACTTGGAGGAAGAAAACATATAAGCTATAGGGATGCAGGGAGATCAAAGTACATACAAACATTTCAACACATTCTATTCTTCCTACAAATGATATGCAGGTCTTAGCATACTATCAAGGCTAAATCTAATGTTTGACAGATTGGTTGTAAATGGCCATTCTTCCTGCTTCTGATGGCACACATTTGTATTTACTGCATGTGGAACCTAAATCTAAATGAAATCTGATGTTCAACATCAAAATGTCTATGCTTAAGAAAGGTAAAAGTATAAGATCTTGCAACTGTTGGGAGTATCTGTTGCCTATTAGTAACTCTTGTCCATTTCACTGAATCCCTGAGTCTACTCCATTGGGTTAGACACCACATAACCAAGCTCCTCTGGCAGGGGTTGGAAGTCAGAGCAGCCAACACCTGCTGGCACTATAGAGAAGTGAGGAGAAATCTGGCAAAGCATCTTTGACATGGATCAGGCATTAACAATACTGGAAATAAGAGGCTGAAATTGGATTTGCTGAGTTACGTAGCACCCCACAACACTAATTCTGTTATTTTTTAAAAAATACAACCAAAAATGTGTTCCATCTTTAGATTTAGTGTATTAAATCAAATCTAAAAGTGTTTCTGTTAGTGTTGTTAGTCTACCAGGAAAAAAAAAACTGGGTAAATTAGTGTGAATTAGCATGAATATGTGAAAATAGAATTTATAGTATAGGAGGAGGGACTGTGTTCTTAGTTCTGTAAATATGGAGTTAGCCATATTACATAAAGTTCTTTACCATGAGGCAATATTAAGAAGTCTCACCTAGGTTCTAGAAACAAGCATTACGATATATTAAGAAAAACTATTCCTCTTCCTTGTTGGTTTATAGTATTCGGGATTAAATGAGAAATGTGTGGGATTTAAATTACATATTCATATCAATACTTTTCAAGGATTCATTATAAGGTCATAATTTGGTTTTAATTCTAGGTTATGGGAAAGCACTCTATATTAGCTAAGAAGTATAAAATGTTCTTTGCTTTGTTTAATGTTCCTATGTGTCTAATACAAATTAGTATAACCATAAAATGGGGCATGTACTTTTTTGTTGTTGTTGTTATTCTAAAATTCTAATGTCCTGAAAAGTGTAAGGAATAAAACAGACAACTGCATAAAACTGGGAAATGGAGTGCATTCAATAGGCAGGGCTTACAGATTTTTAATAATATTTCTTTAACAGGGTTTGTCCTTTATTTTAAAATTTCAGCAGATTCATATCTGTGTATGAAATTTCCAGGAACTATCGTATAGTACTTGGGTAGAATAGACCACTGTCATGGAATCCTTCCTCTTAGTATTGACAACTAGATGTCCACCACTCGCTGCAACTTATGAAGACTCCAGTTTACACAACAGTGGAATATGGAATTGCTTTCTCTTCTAATAAAACTGAAGCAATAACATCACACAGCTATAAATCAAGGTGATTTTAAAGTACACAAAAATACAACTATTTATGCCACATAGTTATATGAGGAATATTCCTAAGAGACTTTAAATCTTGAATACTCACTTCTGTCAAACACTCTCAAGCACAGGATTACATTGAGAAAGGATATGGCATTCAATTTCCAACATTTCACCCCAAAGAAGGTAAAGCACAACTATACTGAACTGCAAATTCTTTTAAGTTTCCAGAACACAAGGTCGATCTAGAAATACATTTTAAAATTTAGCAAGTTCTCTTAGTAAATTAGTATGCTCAGCCCGTAATTTTCAAACACAATCCTAAGTGATTTTCCAAAATTTGTTCATAGTCTTTTACTCGCTCACAAAAATATTTTCACTGGTGCTTTTCAGGTTTCTAATTTTCACATGTATTAGCTCAAAATATTTAACCTTCTAGGAATATCTTTTCTCTCCACATTTCAAAACATGAAATAGATTTTACTTACATCTCATAATAAGACCACCAGCAAAAACATTTCCTTACGTTTGAGCTTAAAGTAAATCTATAACAGCTCAAGATGGGGGAATTTTCATGAAATTATCAACTCTCCCAACGAGGGAGTTAAGAATTAATGCAAATGTCCTTGGAAGGATTTGTCAAGCGTAACTAGACACAGAAAGATATTTATCCCAAGAACAAGGTACTGTTTTTTTTTTTTTTTTGACTTTCTAACTCCTCCTGGGCAGAAGGGAGACCCAAGACCATGCTGTCCCAGAAGAACATCCGCAAAAACCCGAGGGTCTTTACACGGAGCTTGAAAACGGGACCACTTGCTTTCCGGCCACATAAACTTCTTCAATATTTCGATCATCTCCTGAAAAGAAAAAGCAAGGAATCTTTTATGAAGTGCTTATGTGTCAATAATTATCTATATTGCCACTGGCGTGATTAAAAAAAAAAAACAAAACAAAATACTTCTAAGAGAGGAAATACAAAAAGCTACCTTTGTTTTCTGTCAGATTGTTGATAATCTGGACAGAGGGGCATGATCAGTACAAAATGCTGCATCTAACTTGAGGGTGAGGGTCTGAATTCTGCACCAAAGGTGGAAACCACATAGAGTTGAAATGACCCTCTGTTGTTCCCCAGCTAAAATAACTTAGGTGTGCATTTCTAGCCTCTGTTGTAAAAGGAGTATTAATCTTTAAACTGGGGAGTCTCTGGGTGGTGCAAACAGCTGCTAACCAAAGTTTAGAGGTTCGAGTCTACCCAGAGGTGCCTTGGAAGAAAGATTTAGAGAACTACTTTCAAAAAAACAGCCACTGAGAACCCTGTGGAGTACAATTCTACCCTGACACACATGGGGTCACCCTGAGTTGGCGTCTACTTGATGGCAACTGGTTTTGTTTTCTCTTTAAATGCCAGAATCATACTCAGCATGAGGTGAATGGCCTCCAGGAACTGAGCTCCACTCAAAATCACTTGTATCTCCCATGTCAAGTTCACTCAGGGGTCTGAGCTCATGGAGCCAAATAGGAGGCAGAGTAGAATTTTATGTACTATTTACTGTTTCTTTCAGTGAGTAGAATTGAATGCCAGTAGGTTAAAAGCTTGTGTGCAGAGACTCCACTGCACACAAATTCAGCATGGCAGGGCAGACTGGGGGGAACAGCATGAGTGTGAGAGGAATGGACACTTTCTGGCCTTCCATTTCTCAGTTTAGGATTTCCGACTCTACGTCATGGAGGAGAATGCACATTTCAAATACTGTCTTTTAAATATCATGCCTTACATGGGCTTAATAGTGAGGAATCTTAAAAAAATAATGAATCAAAGCAAATTATCACACTTAGGGCTTAATATATGGTACCACCAATACAGAGAGGAACATCCAAGAAAGACACAAAGATGCCTTTTATTTAGCACAGAGACATGTATCTACCTACCTAGATAGAGGAACTTCTGGATAACAGCCTAAAATGGAAAATAAAGGTAATAATAAGAAAAAATACTTTGTGCCATTTAGAAAAGCAAATTCACAGTTAATAGTGTTGGCAAAGCCAAGAAATATAAATTTATTTTTTCAATTGCAAAATCTACCTCCATTAATTAATAAGAAATAATTTTTAGCTTAAAACAATCATTGACGACCACAAATGTTTATCCATTAACTGAAAGTTCTTGAAATATAACCTTGAAATCTTTAGAGGAAGGTTTTATATGAATTTAAGAAGTTACCATAATAAAATAATTCAAACGTTTCAATAAGTATATAAGAAAAATGATTGGATGAGTGGGAATGAGTACTATTCTAAGAAATTCACTTTAATAAAGGACTAAAAGAATAAATAATATGAAAATAACAAATGGTACCAATTTCAAATAATCCAACATCTTTCTTCTAAGAACCTCAGTGGGTAAGCACTTGGTTGCTAACCAAAAGGTCGACTGTCTGAATTGTCTGAATCCATGGGAGAAAGATGTGGCAGTCGCTTCTGCAAAGATTTATAGCCTAGGAAACACTACGGGGCAGCTCTACTCTGTCTTGTAGGGTTGCTATGAGTTGGAATCGACTCGATGGCAACGGGTTTGGTTTTCTTTTGTTTTGTTTATTATCACATTTATACTCATTATATTTATTATCACATTTACTTTCACCTTCAATTTGGCCCTTTGGTCCTGGTTCCTGAGCCCCACCTGGTAACCAGCCTTTACCGGAATTGGCTGGGTGGGGGCACCGAGTCTGACCTTTGCACAGATTGGCCAGGAAGCCCGCCGTGTAGTTAACAAGGAGTACATGGCTAGCTTATAAAAACCCTGGAACCTGAGAACAGAGCAGTTCTGAGCCAGAGAAGTGCTACCCAAGAGTCACCCTGAGGAAGACCTGCTCCAGCGGAGATCTTATCTTAAGCCGTCCTGGTTGACAAAGGGAGAGACCTGCTCTTTTTGATCTTCCCAGGCCTCACCCATATCCTTTTCCCTAAGTTGTATCCTGAGTTTCCTGACATTTACCCTGAGTTGCATCCCAAATTGCATCCTGTTACTTCTGCATCGTTAAACGCTAATAAACCACTTACCATCAGTACCGTCTGTGAGTTCTTGGGAGTTCTTTGTGACCATCGTAGCAGATTATTGAACCCAGCAAAGAAACAGCAAAATAATGGAGAAGGGGGAAGGTGGAAATATATCTGGCCTCTGCCTCATAGGAACCAGTCTTATGCTGATTCTGCTTTATGACATTGTCCTTACACTAATGAATCAGTTTGTTAATGGTGACGTTAATTTTTTTTTAAGAAAAACCCAATCTGATAAAGACTTGTTATTAAAGTAAGAAGAACGCTTTTATTTCATACAAAGGAAAACATTTTATAATAAGAGAAACAAGGTAATGAAACTCATTTTTCTTATAAAGTTAAGAAGGTCAATGAAGCGGAGTGGTTAAGAGTCCAGCCTCTGGTAGTGAGAAGGTCCTGGGTTTGAATCCAAACTCTGCCACTTAACTACTAGCCATGAGTCCTCAAGTTAATCATTTAACTTCCTTTAAGGCTCACTGCCCCCGGAAGTAAAATAGCAACAGTAACAGTGCTTACTTGTTAAGAGTTGTTCTGATGATTAAGTGAAATGAGATATGAAAGTTCTTAATCCCATACTTACCCGGTACATAGCAAGTGTTCCAGAAGTGCTAGCTATAGTATGGCTGCTTAGAGCCAAAATCAATTCAAAATACAAATACTTTGTTAATAGGGTGTCATTATTCTGAATATCACCATCAAGAAATTACAATAACAACTCAAAGATCTAGTTTCCCTTCTAAGATTCTCCTGATTTCCATTAAAATGTTTCGGCTTCTATTTTTTCCTACAGGGTAGCTATTGTGACTGCTTCATGGGATAAATGCCTTTTAATTAACGTTCTTTTACTTACCTCTGAAATACCACCAGCAATATCCCCATGAAACAGGTCAATGGGAGAGTCTGATGCTTTGGGGTTGATCAGGAGTGCATCAAATTCCTTGCCCACTTCAAAGTTTCCAATCTCACTATCCAGCCCCAGGGCTACAGAGCAGAATAAGGTAATAAACGGTCAGTATTTCGAGCCATCCCAGTTTGCAGGGACAGAGTCAACCAACTTAACACTAGGAAAAAAATTAGTATCTTAATAGTGAAGCAGGAAAGCACTCCCATCCCAGTAGGTTACAGGACTTCTACTTATCAAAGCAGAATAAGGACAGGAAAAGCAAAATCTGAGAATAAAAACAGTTCCCTTCAGCACCGTGATCATAATACTGACAGTTTCTCTATTTCAGTTCTATCAACGCACTTCAGACCCCAGCCACTCTATGATTTTCCTTCATCTCTCTACGAAGCATAATTGACTTGACATAATATCGTTTTTATTTTTCCCTCCTATTCTCCAGTCAACACTTCAACTCCTTTCCCTGCCTGTTATGTTCTTTTTGTTTTATGAGATAGCTAACAAGATCCATTTTCATGGCAGTGAAATGAACCTCGAATAAAAAAATAATTATCCTTTTGCACATCTGCTGATGCAAGCATACCTATCATAAATTCCTCAGCGTAAATCCTTTGAGTAGAAAAAAAATTTTACTTTCCAAAGTGACTAGATCTCATAACTCAAGAGTCCCAATGCTTTGAAAGCAGCCCAATTTCTTTGTAACCTTGAAGGTTTTCTGATCACCCGAAAAGAATGGTTTTCTAAAATAGGGCATAGGTCAATAATGTCTATTGACTCTGTCCCTCTCATAGCTAGAATTCATGTTTCATGAATATTGGACACTGGGTAAGAACATCTCTCATTGTTATGATTTAGTTTCAGAAAATAGGGTACTTGGCTCTCCTGGTCAATGAGGGTATTGGATCCAAAGCTCCTCAGGGCCTGTAATCTGAATAAGGTGTACACTGAGGTGACTAGTGGAGGCGTACATCAAAGGTCAACTGGAGTGCAACACTATTTATTGCAATTTTTATATGTGTTTGTTGTAGTCTATCACTGTCAGAATACTGATGTGAAAAGCGCTGGGTTACATATTCCCATTAGGCAACATCTGATACTTTGTATTTCTGCGCATGAATATCCAGAAATCATTTGCCAATTCTCTGAGCACTGACTTAGAAATCCTGCTTATTCCTAAAAGATTATGTAAAGCGCCACTCTTTTAGTCTCAGGAACAAAAAGTATTTTATTTTATTTTTTTTTTTAGCTGAAGGATTTTCATAGCAAGACAGGAGTGCAAAAATAATTAGAAATATCAAGAGCAGTTAGGTGACTTCTATGAATTATGTAAGCAGGCACTAAATGTAATAGAGAATTACAGGAAATTCTCTCCTTCTTCACTGATCACACTCTATTTTTTGGCCCTTGACAAAGAAGCATTGCAAACATGACTTTTTAACGAATATATTCAACATAAAATCGTTGTGTGTCTAATAGGCCAGATACATTTGTTAGGATCCAGGTCATTTTGGCAATATCAACTAACTGGGCCATTCATTAGACCCTGAAGAGTTCAGGCATGAACTAATCTTATTTATAAGTACTCGATACATTACTTCCAGTGCCTTTGTAAAGTGATCTAAATTCAGATTGTTGCAGATGGGTCCAACTGATAAGAAACTCAAATGCATTTCAGGAAATGCAGCTTTACTGCCTTTTGGAGCAAATGGTGGCTCTATGAAGGTGCTTTACACACATCTAGATTTTCTTGAGCGTGAATGTAAAGGCTGTGGCAAAGCTGGAAGATATGCCACGTTTTAAACCAGGATCCACTGATCTCATTTCACTCAGACTGTAGCAGAGACATAAGCTAAGGAGAAGAAATTCCGTAACAGTATGCCTAGTGGCCTGAAAAATGCTACACAGCAAGGTAGAAATGATTCGCTAGGCACCCTATGCCGGCTTGCTCAGAAGCAGGATCCTAATGAAGCAATTCACAGAGAGCCTAGAATAGAAAAAGCACTATTTAAATACAGCTTGCTTGCAGCATGAAAATAAGTTGGTCAAACCAGAGCTTCGAACTGGTTCATTCCAGTTTGAACCACTGCCGAGAATTTGCATTTCCACCCCAGATGTACTGAGTCAGAATCTACACTTTAACAAGATCCCCAGGTGACTCTTATGTATAATGAAATTTGAGAACTCCTGTTCTACTAGTGGTTCTCAGAATTGGTCCCTAACCAGCAGCATTAGCACCATCTGGGAACTTGTTAGAAATGCAGATTCTAGCAGGGGTTCAAACCAGAATGAATAGGTAAGACAACTATTTAAATTCAGATGTTCAAATATGGCTATGGTGGTGGAGGTAGGGTATCGCCCTTGTTAAAAGGATGAGTGGATTAAAACTTAAAACTTCAGAATAGGAAATCATAAAATTTAGGAAACTCCAAAGAGCATAACTCATACTTGGTTTTCTTGAAATGACCTTTATGGTGTTGGTTGTAGTCCAGGACACTTAAAGAAGAGCCAGGAAGTTTCCCTTCCCAGGATACTCTTGGCCTCGCTAGCCCAGAATACCCACCATATATCTACATCTGTATCTGTATCACACCACCCTTCTGTTAATTTGTCATATGTCATGGTTTGCATGTTGCTGTGATGCTGGAAGCTATACCACTGGGATTTCAAATATCAACAGGGTCACCCATGGTGCACAGATTTCATCAGAGCTTCCAGTCGAAGACAGACTAGGAAGAAAGGCCTGGCAATCTATTTCCAAAAATTAGCCAATGAAAATCTTATGGATCACAACACAATATGGCCTGAATCACATGCTTTGGACCCATCATCAAGAGAGATCAACCACTAGAGGAGGACATCATGTTGGGTAAAGTAGAAGGCAAACAAGGGCATGGGGGATCTCAAAGAGATGGACTGGCACAATAGTCACAGCAATGGACTCGAACATGCTGGTGATTGTGAAGATGATACAAGACTGGGCAATGTTTCATATTATTGTACATAATGTCGCCATGAGTTGGCGTCAACTTGATGGCAGCTAACAACAACATATCTGTACCTGTATCTATACTTTTATTTCTAGCTATCTACTTATGGCTCCATGCTATTTTCACTGTTACTCTTCCAGATTGCACTATAATTTGAAAGTGACTTAAAGTAATTCAATAAGCAATTTCTATTTTTTCCATACAAATATGATTACATGTGAGAACTAGCAAAGCTGATGAATGATATTTGCATATCAACCAACTATATTTTTATATCTTTCTCCTTTTAAAGAAGTTTGGGTAAATAATGGACTTAAACATATAAGCAAAAGGCACGGTCTATGCAGGCATATTCTATTATAGGAAGATATCACAGTGTAGGGCAGCAGGCAAGACTCTATACTCTGGTATCAGATTTTCTGGATTTGAATTGTGGCACACTGTAGCTTGACTGCTGTGTGAGCCTCAGGTTCTTTTTTTTGGGAGATGGAATTAATAACAATGGTTGAGAAGAATAAAAAATAAATGAAGCAAGTTGCATAGTGCCTATCACATGTAAGCACCCAGGAAGTCTTGGCTATTGTTTTTACTATTATTATTATTACTCAGACCAATAGAAAGCATGTTACTTGACTCAATGGGAAAACTGATTATTTTAAAGAACTTATTTGCATGTGACCAGTATAAAAAAAATACCCATTAAAACGATTACTATGACAATCGTGTAACATCTAGTCTGCTTTCTGCCGAAGACAGCAAACTCATTGAAAGAATGATGCCTTCATTGCCTGCCTCAACTTTGACTTTACTTGCTATATTTTGGTTATGTTATCTGAGATGCAGTTGGACTATGGAATACATGCTGGTATCACCACACACGTGCCTTCATCCGGCACCCTAGGACACAGAATGGCATGCTTCGACCTTATGTGAGAGAGAAACAAAATAGTCATTACCTTGGCTTCCTCCCAGAGTAGCTAGTCTGAAGACTTCTTTGAGGGTGAGGCTTTTCTCATTTACTTTATTAATTAAAAGGACGCTGGAAACCATCACTGCTCTTCTGATTGCATCAAGCATGGAAGATGAATAACCACCAGCAACATCTACGGTAAATAGGACAGAGCCAAAACAGTAACCTTATGAGGATAAATGGAATATATAAGGTGGGTTTTTGTTTTTGGTGACAGATACAGTCTTTAGTATACTTACAGAAAAGATATTATCTATAAACACAGAATGGCCACAGACCAATATTTAAAGGAATTCAAAACCTGCAATCAGTATCAAATGTACACTTATACTAGTTGCCTCGGGCTGCAGCAACAAATTATGACAAACTTGGTGGCTTAAAACAACAGAAATTTATTTTTGTACAGTCCTGGAGGTTACAAGTCCGAAATCAAGGTGTCAGCAGGACTACACGTTTTTCTGAAGCTCTAAGGGACAATCCTTCCCTGCCTCTTCCAGCTTCTGGTGGCACCTGGTGTTCCTCGATTTATAACAGCATTACTCTAATCCCTGCCTCCATCTTTACATGGCCATCTTCCCTGAGTGTCTCTATGTCTCTCCTTTTCTGTCTCTTATAAGGACACTCATCACTGGATTTATGGCTCGCCCTAGTTCAGAGTGAACTCATCTCAAGATCCTTACTTCAAATACGTAAGCAAAGATCTTTACTCCAAATAAGGTCACATTCTGAAGTTCTGGGCAGACATATCTTTTGGAGGCCACAGCTCAACCCACTATAATACCCAAGTGGTTAAATGAAGTTAAGAGAAAAAACTCATCTCTGAATATTCCCTGGTAGAACTCTCATGGAAATTGTTCAACTATGACTGCATAGTTATAAAGATAATTTAGATAATATAATATGTAACTTAAAATAAGCTTATCGTTCTATATACTAAAAACTTGTCCAAAGTCTATTCTAATTCAGATGAGAACCTAAGGGAAATTAAAAATACACCTCTTTACGGTAATTTTTCAGGAAGAGCTTTTAGAATGAACTTTTATATTCTGGAAAATTAGTGTAATAAATGAGCAATGCTGATGAAGATAGCTTTAGATGTTAGGAGGCATCATTAGGTGAAAAATGAGATTTTTGGTGATTTAAATAAAGTCTCCAACCATAATTAAATGGAAATACTGCTTTTGACGAGAATGATGGAGAAGTTATTAAATGAGTTTGTATAAATAAATGTCAAGTAACTTAGCATGTTTTATTAGAAGAAAAGTACATTTATAGCTAATAAAACACACTTTATATTTCAGGGGATCCTTCTGTCATTCCTAGGTAGACATTTATAATTGCTAGTGCCTATATACATTGCAAAGATCAAAAGCAATAGCCTATTAAGTAGTAATTTTAGGTTGCTATTCAATTTTATGTTCAGTTATCTTACATGTCCTTGGATAAACTTCTATGCATTTTTTTAGAAAATATTTTTCTTTAACCAGAACACTATTATCAAAGGATTATCCAGTTCCCTGAGAAGTTTTATTACCTCTACTGAAGTTATTAGGTTGTGTAAATATACAGTCGTTGTTGTTACCTACAGTCAAGTTGGCCCCTGACTCATGGTGATCCCATGCACAATGGAACAAAACACTACGTGGTCCTAAGCCAACCCCATGATTGGTTGCAGATCAGACGGTTGTGATCCATAGGGTTTTCACTGGTGGATTTTTGGAAGGAGATCACCAGGCCTTCCTAGTCTGTCTTAATCTAGAAGCTCCACATAAACCTGTTCAGCGTCATGTCGTTGTTGTTGTTAGACGGCGCCGAGTCAGTTCCGACTTGTAGCCACCCTGTGTACAACAGAACAAAACACTGCCTGGTCCTGCGCCATCCTCTCAATTGTTGCTACATTTAAGCCCATTGATGCAGCCACTGTGTCAATCCATCTCATTGGGGGTTTCCTCTTTTTTGCTGACCCTCTACTTTACGAAGCATGATGTCCTTCTCCAGGGACTGATTCTTCCTGAAAATATGTTTAAAGTACATGAGATGAAGTCTCGCCATCCTCACTTCTAAGGAGCATTGTGGCTGTACTTCTCCCAAGACAGACTTGTTCGTTCTGGTAGTTCATGGTATATTCAATATTCTTTAGCAATACCACAATTCAAAGACATCAATTTTTCTTCGGTCTCTTTTATTCATTGTACAGCTTTCAAATGTATATGAGGCAAATGAAAACATCATGGGTGGGGTTAGGCGAACCTTAGTCCTCAAAATGACATCACTGCTTTTCAACACTTTAAAGAGGTCTTTTGCAGCAGACTTGCCCAATGCAATACATCGTTTGATTTCTTGACTGCTGCTTCCATGGGTGTTGATTGTGAATCCTAGAAAAATGAAATCCCTGACAACTTCAATCTTTTCTCTGTTTATCATGATGTTGTTTACTGCTCCAGTTGTGAGGATTTTTGTTTACTTTATGTTGAGGTGTAATCCATACTGAAGGCTGTAGTCTTTGATCTTCATCAGTAAGTGCTTCAAGTCCTCTTCACTTTCAGGAAGCAAGGTTGTGTCATCCGCATAATGCAGGTTGTTAATGAGTCTTCTACCAATCCTGATGCCGCATTCTTCTTCATACAGTCCAGCTTCTTGGTTTCTTTGCTCAGCATAAAGATTGAATAAATACGGTGGAAGGACACAACCCTGACACACACCTTTCCTGACTTTAAACCATGTAGTATCCCCCTGTTCTGTTTGAATGACTGCCTCTTGGTTTATGTACGGGTTCCACATAAGCACAATGAAGTGTTCTGAAATTCCCATTCTTCGCAATGTTATCCATAATCTGTTATGATCCACACAGTCAAATGCCTTTGCATAGTCAATAAAACGCAGGTAAACATCTTTCTGATATTCTCTGCTTTCAGGCAAGATCCACCTAACATCAGCAGTGATATCCATGGTTCCACATCCTCTTCTGAATCTGGTGTGAATTTCTGGCAGTTCCCTGTCAATGCACTGCTGTAATCGCTTTTGAATGACCTTCAGCAAAATTTTACTTTCGTGTGATACTGATATTGTTCGATAATTTCCACGTTCTGTTGGATCACCTTTCTTTGGAATGGGCACAGATATGGATCTTTTCCAGTCAACTGACCAGGTAGCTGTCTTCCAAATCTCTTGGCATAAACGAGTGAGCACATCCAGCACTGCATCCACTTGTTGAAATATCTCAATTGGTATTCTGTCAATTCCTGGAGCCTTGTTTTTCTCCAATGCCTTCAGGGCAGCTTGGACTTCTTCCTTCAGTCCATCGTTCTTGATCATATGCTACCTCCTGAAATGGATGAACATCGAGCAATTCTTTTAGGTACAGTGACTCTGTGTATTCCTTCCATCTTCTTTTTTTTCTCTTTTCTACAGTCTTTTTATTATTATTATTAATAAGCAAAATGATTTAAAAAAAGAAAATACAACACCTTAAAGTTGAAATAGCAGTAAGTCAAATCGCTGCTGGAGTTCACAGATGTACCTGGGGTACATGCTCCCTCACTGCAAGGCAGGACCTAGGCACACGACTGTGTATTTAGGTTTATCTATGCGAGCAAGAAGAATAACTGCAATGGAAACCACTGGAGAATAGAAAGCATCAAGAAATTTTCATCAGGCAATACCAAAGCGCTCTGCTCCTTTCCTCTTCTTTGCCTCTGTATCCTTTGTGGTTCCAGTTCCAGCTGAACTTTGACAATCCAAAATCACTCCTTCCGCTTTTTCAGCTTCTCATCATCTTCAGACTTTCTGGAGATTGAAGAGACGTTCAAACTAAATCTTTGAGCTCTTTCCATCAGCTTATCCAGGTTAACCATAGGCTTGGCGTCAGATAACAGGTGTTTTGTTGGAACTGAAAAAATGCCAAACCTAGCTGCCCGGGCAGCTTTTTTACTCCCCAAGCTCACAGGTACGTTGAATTGTTCAGCCCTCTTCTGCATTCTTTCAGTCTGTGGTTTACTTCAGACGTAATTTTTACCACTTTCTTCTCTGCTGCCATACCAACAGTTCTTTCAGGGGCTTCTTCCTCTTTGCCAGGCAGTTCTATGGGCTTTGGTTCTTCTTCCTGTTTCATCTCCCAGTACATCTTCTTCATTTACCTCCTCCTCAGCACATTCTTCAAGATATGCCTGGAGCCTGTTGATGGGATCTTGTTTTATTCTCTTGGTCTCCAAACCATGAGCAAGACATTCCTGCTGTAGTTCAGCAAGCTTCAGCTTATGAAGCCCAACATCTCTACCGCCTTCTTGTTACCCCTTCTACTACACTAGCTTTCCATCTTCTTTTGATGCTTCCTGTGTCGTTCAATATTTTGCCCATAGAATCCTTCAAAATTACAACTCGAGGCTTGAATTTCTTCTTCACTTCTTTCAGCTTGAGAAATGTAGAATGTGTTCGTGTTCTCCCGTTTTGGTTTTCTAACCCCAGGTCTTTGCACATTTCATTATTATATTTTACTTTGTTTTCTCCAGCCACCTTTTGAAATCTTCCGTTCACTTCTTTTACTTCATCATTTCTTCCATTCATTTTAGCTACTCTGTGTTCAAGAGTAAGTTTCAGACTGTCTTCTGACATCCATTTTGGTCTTTTCTTTCTTTCCTGTCTTTTTAATGACCTTTTTCTTCCATCATGTATGATGCCCTTGATGTCATCCCACAACTTGTCTGGTCTTCAGTCATTAGAGTTCAATGCGTTAAATCTATTCTTGAGATGGTCTCCAAATTCAGGTGAGATATTCTCAAAGTAGTATTTTGGTTTTTGTTGTGTTGTTTTAATTTTCTTCAGCTTCAACTTGAGCTTGAATATGAGCCATCGATGGTCTGTTCCACAATCAGCCCCTGGTCTTGCTCTGACTGATGATATTGAGCGTTTCCATCATGTCTTTCCACAGATGTAGTGGATTTGACTCCTGTGTTTTCCATCCAGTGAGGCTCATATGTATAGTCACCATTTATGTTGTTGAAAAAAGGTATTTGCAATGAATAAGTTGTTGGTCTTGCTAAATTCTATCATGCGTTCTCCGGCATTTCTATCACCAACGTGAAAACTTCCAATGACAGGTGGATGGTGGCTGCATATGAGGTTCACTGGCCAGAA